TTTTTGAAGGTTTGCTAAGTTCCATTCCAGACTTGCACTGGGTATCATACTATCATCTCTTTTCAACCAGGAACTATTTTGCAACAGCTAGTATTTTTGTAAGCGTGAGTCTTACTCCTTCTTTTCTTATAACCACCGTACAGATTAAGATATGGCAAGATCGTAAGGCACAACCACTTGTAGTTTTGAGGCCTCATGATGGACATCCAGTCAGTTCAGCCACGTTTGTGACATCTCCTGAGAGACCTGATCACATCATACTTATCACGGGGGTGTGTTCTTGAATCAATACTACTGACTTTTCTCAGCTATATCTAATGTTATTTGGCTCTGCTGTGTTGAGTTTACATTTTATAATTGTAGCTTTCCTCTCTGCTAAGTTGCTAACTCTGACAGTGTTGGCAATGTTCTTCTCATAGGGTCCTCTAAATCGAGAAATGAAAATCTGGGTCTCTGCTGGGGAAGAAGGGTGGCTTCTACCAGCTGATGCTGAAGCATGGAGGTGTACCCAGACTCTTGACTTGAAAAGTTCAACTGAGCCACGAGCTGAAGAGGCATTTTTTAACCAAGTCATAGCATTATCTGAAGCAGGCTTGCTTTTACTTGCAAACGCAAAAAGGAACGCTCTATATGCTGTGCATTTGGACTATGGTTCTTCTCCAGTTGGTGCGCGGATGGATTACCTATCAGAGTTTACAGTCACTATGCCCATATTGAGTTTCATTGGGACAAATGATCCTCCAGAAGAACCCATTGTTAAGGTTTATTGTGTTCAGACTCTAGCAATCCAGCAGTATACATTAGACTTATGCTTATGCTTGCCACCACCTATAGAAAATATGGGTTTGGAGAAGTCAGATTCTAGTGTATCGCGAGAGGCAAATCTTGTTGAAGGCACATCAGAACCATCTGGACTTAAGCCTACTGACTTACCTTCAGTTGATTCAGTGCCAAAACCTTCTATTATAGTGAATAGATCGGAAAGTGCTAATAAGTTGAGTTTTCCATCAGCAGAAGCCACATCACAAGCAATTGTTCCACCCAATGGTGAACCTAAAACTTCTGGCCTGCCATCTCAGACCAGTGGTGCAGGTTCTACGTATGCTACTTCACCCCAACTTCCTCTAAGTCCCAGACTATCAAGTAAACTTTCTGGCTATCACACTCCTGTAGATGCTATTGAGCCAGTAATACCTCATCATGAGCTCGGTGGCAAAACACCTTCTGCTGATTATTCTGTTGATAGGCAAATGGATGCTGTTGGAGAAAGAAATTTGGACGTGTCATCCGTTGAAGAAAGCTCAAGAAGCAAGGACTCAAATGTTACGCCTGATGATGATGTGTCTGGGATGCGAAGCCCATCAGCTTTTTTCAAACACCCCACTCATCTTGTAACTCCTTCAGAGATATTGATGGGTGTTTCGTCCGCTGAAGCCTCCATTACTACTGAAGACAGGAGAGAAAGGGATGCAAATATTCAGGACGTGAATAATGATGTAAGAGACTCCGAAGTTGAGGTGAAAGAAATAAATGAAGCAAGGTCGACACAGAATGGTGAAATCAATGATCATGGTGAAACTGAGAATCGCACTTCAGAAAATAGAGAAAAAGTCTTCTGCTCACAGGCTTCAAATCTCAGCACCGATATGGCAAGAGACTGTTATCCAAGTACTGAGGGAGCTTTCATTCCAGGGGATCCTAAGGCTTATGGACAACCTTTAAAGGCTGGAGATGAAATTGGTCTTGACTCGAGAGGTGTGTCTGCAAAGCTTCCTGAGTCGGGTTCATCTAGTGGGCTTCCACAGTTGCCAGGTATAACTAGCAAAGGGAAGAAGCAGAAGGCCAAAAATTCACAGGGTCCCGGTTTGTCATCTACATCCTCAAATGTTGCTAATCTGGCTGACTCCTTCATTGAGCAAAGTCAGAGCTTAAGTCATCCCATGACAGATTCACTTCCTCAGTTGTTAGCAATGCAAGAAACGATGAATCAGGTGACATATTGGTCTTGAAACTAATTAGAACCCTATTTCTTAACAAAATTTGTTATTATACTGTTGCATCATTTCACTGATACACTATTAAACTTGTTGTTACCTTGATTTTGCACATAAGAGTTCCTTCTTACATTCGTTTTATATACACAACTGGCATTTATCGATGATAAGTTATTGCTTTTCATCTTACGACGTACCTTGGTAATTTTCTTGTTGTTTTATTTATTGACCTGAAACATTATTTCCTTTCCAGATAATGGCTTCACAGAAGGAGATGCAGAGACAACTATCAAATGCTACCACTGGCCCTATCGTAAAAGAAAGTAAAAGACTAGAAGTTGCGTTAGGGAGAATGATTGAGAAATCCAGCAAGTCAAATGCGGATGCTCTATGGGCCCGCTTCCAAGAGGAGACTGTTAAGAATGAGAAGGCATTGCGTGACCATGCACAGCAAATTGTGAATACAACGACAAACTTCATGAGCAAGGAGTTAAATGCCATGTTTGAGAAAGCGATAAAGAAGGAAGTTGCTGCAATTGGTCCAGCCCTTGCACGTTCAGTAATACCAGTTATTGAAAAAACTGTATCTTCCGCAATCACAGAGTCCTTTCAGGTTAGATTTTTACGAGAAATTTAGAGCTAATTCTTGAGAAGGTTCATTGTTGTAAAAAGAAAACTGCGTTCTCTTTTGACAGAGAGGAATTGGTGACAAAGCAGTCAATCAGCTTGACAAATCTGTTAATCTAAAGCTTGAAGCAACCATAGCTAGGCAAATTCAAGCCCAATTTCAAACCTCTGGCAAGCAAGCCCTCCAGGTAAATTCGAGTTTCACCTAGCTTTGTGGTACTTTGTAGAGGTGTCTATAAGTCTCCAACTGCATCATAGTTTGACGGAAAGGGAGTTGATCTCTTATATATATTTCCTGCCATTTATAAACTTCAGGAAGGTCTTAGGTCAAGTGTGGAGTCCTCAGTCATACCTTCCTTTGAGAGGGCATGCAAGGCCATGTTTGACCAAATAGACTCAGCCTTCCAGAAAGGTATTGCTGAGCATACAAATGCAGCCCAGCAACGGTTTGACTCTGGACATTCCCAGCTTGCTCATACTTTAAGGGTACGATGGAAAATCATTCTTCTTACAGCTCTGTTATGGTTGGAAAATCCAGTCATTTCTTTCTTCTTTCTAAAGCCGCTGCTCGTTTTACAGGAAACAATTACTTCTGCGTCGTCAGTTGCTCAAGCCTTAAGTCGTGAATTAGCCGAAAGCCAAAGGAATCTCTTAGCTCTCGCAGCTGCTGGAGCAAATTCCGGTGGGTCTAATCCCTTGGTTACTCAACTAAGTGGCGGACCTTTGGGTGCTCTTCTTGACAAGGTTTGCGAATCTCTGGAACTAATCACTAACCATGAATCTTGTATTAGTTTAGTGCATGAGCGTCGTTGTTACTCTTGGTGGATTGTAGCTGCTCAGCAATCATAGTTGAGTCGGTTAGCTAGGGAAGAGACTTAACAGCTTAAAAGGAAGTTTAGGCAGAAGAATTGAGCATTCTGGATTGGTCTAGGATCTAGCTTAGAAGAGTTTAGGGTGCTCACCCCTAGGGTTCTATCTTTGGTTCTTGGCTTCAGTTTATTCTCTGTTTATCTATTGATTGAGTCAGAGAGCGTATAAAGAGTTTCTGCTCTTATCCGAATCCTAATTTGATGTCATTTTCTAAAATTTTGAGTATCACAACATATGTCCTTTCAGGTTGAAGCACCTATGGACCCAACAACAGAACTATCAAGGTTGATATCTGAACGCAAGTACGAAGAATCTTTCACTTCGGCCCTACAGAGAAGCGATGTCTCTATAGTATCATGGCTTTGCTCACAGGTGAGGATTTTGTTTGGATTTCGCGCATCATAAGATCTCATACATAATACAGAAGATCCCATGACATTGATTGTGCCAATTCAGGTGGATCTTCGTGGATTACTGGCAATGAATCCGCTACCGCTGAGCCAAGGCGTGCTTCTTTCACTGCTGCAGCAGCTAGCCTGCGACATCAGCAAGGACACATCCCGTAAGCTGGCTTGGATGACTGATGTGGTTGCAGCCATAAACCCATCAGACCAGATGATTGCGGTCCACGCTCGCCCAATCTTCGAACAGGTCTATCAGATTCTGCACCATCACCGCAACGCACCAGGCAGCGATGTCTCAGCCATCAGACTGATAATGCATGTCATAAACTCCATGCTTATGGGCTGCAAATGATATCTTTCTCTATCTTTCTATCTCTTCTTTCTTGTTCGTTGGTTATATAAAATATAGGAAAACAACAATCTCTCTACTCTTCTTTGTATCTCTCTACATTTGTTAGATTTTTATTTTTCTTTCATTTTTGGTTTGAATTTTGTTTTCCATCTTTCTTTTAAATGTAAAATGTGGTTGTTTTTATATACGTCTACTCAGTGGCGGACCCAGGAATTGTTTTTACCCAGGTTATTTAAAAAAAAAGGGAAAAAATTAAACCTATTACGCTAAGACAGGGACTTGAACTCAGGATACGGAGGTCATGGACACACAAATACCAATTCAACTGCTGTTTTTTTTCTGGTTTCTTACACATAAAAAGATTTATATCATTATTCCGCCCATGCGTCTACTGTTCCCACTTCTTCACAAGAGGAACTTATGTATAAGCCAAATCAATGTTTGGATTAAAGCTGTTATATTTAAAATGTGTTTGTTTTAGATTCTTCACAGGTTGGTTGTCACTATACATTTCTTCTTATTTGATAAAATATCTAATCAACAGTGTTTTATCATTATTGTTTTTCTATTATTAGTTATAGCAAAGTATTCTCTTTTGGTTATGGTGAATAAAAATGTTGTCTATAAAGAAAGATTGAAGAGGAAAAACATCACTTTAGTAAAACAAACAGTCCCAAAATCTCAGAAACTGTGGGAAACATGTTTCAAATTGCCAATAGTTTTAAATATTTGAAGATCAAATAAAATGATCTCTTACTTGGTCTAATTACTTCGTTTGAAAAGTATAGTAAAAGATCCAAAGACAATTTATGAAGGCGAAAATGAAGATAATATATACATCTCTCCACTCATGACTTTCTTTATACATTGTTAACTTCTTAAGTTAAAAAAACAAAACAAAAAAAGAGCGGATTAAACTTTTAATTTCCCCTTAATTTTCCAAAGATATGACAGGAAAAAAAAAAAAGTAATGAAAGGGGAAAGAAGAAGTCAAAAAGTGCCCTTTCGCTGCTGCAAAATCATCGGAAGCGCTAAAAAGACTTTCTAGATTTACCAACACTGATCCGTCTCCCATCTCCGGGTCGTCGTGTAAACCCGACCCGACCGACCCATCGCTCCAGCGTGTACCCGTCTCCGAGGTGCTCTAAGCGTCGAGTCGTAGATCGCTCTTGTAGTCGGATCCGCCAGTGTCGCGTAAGCTTTGTGAATCTCCATGAAATCTCGACCGTCCGATTCCGACGCATCTGGATGATATACTTTAGCTAAGCTCCGGTAGGCCGTCTTGATCTCCGTCAACGACGCCGTTTCATTCACTTTCAGTAATTCGTAGAGGCTAGAAACTCTCCGACGAACGGATTCCGTTACAGCTGGCTCGGCGTTTAGCGTCTGAGCTGAAGCCTTAAACGACGAAACTCCTGTGGGAAATCTCGCGGTTCCGCTGTAGAATCTGGCCGTTTTCGGTTGGGGGAGAAGACAATTTCCCGGTGAGAATCTCCCGGCGGAGTAAACTAGGGTTCCGGCCATTTAAGCAATTAAAATAAAACTTGAGGGGCAAATTCGGAAGAAAGTGTTAAGATTTAGAGAAGCAGAGAGAGAGAAGTTCGTATGAGAAGTAGGATATGAATCACAAAGGAAAGAGAGGGATTGAGAAAGGCTTATATAAAGAGCTCCAAAAACTTTTTGTAATTTGGTAACCAATTATATTTTATTTTATTTTATTCCAATAAATCTTGTATGTTCATTTTAGCTTATTATTTAATGGAAACAAAAAGAAAGAAGAATAGCTATAGTTCTTCTCCTACTATTTTAAAATAAAATTCTGTTTTAAATTACTTTAATAAAATTCATGTCTTTTATAAAAAGATATATCTAGGAAGCTAAGAAAAAGTCCTGTGTAATCGTAAATCTGATCCAAAGAAAGTAATTCAATACATCCTACCGACATTTTGAAATTCATAGACGACTATTGAAGGGTTTAAAGAAAAATAAAATAAAATATTGGGGTTAAAATGCAAATAAAGTAAAAATAAAAGGAGCGAAAATGAAGGAAAAAAGAAAGGTAAAACCCGTGGGAGAGTAGTGTGGTGGCAGTCACCTGTTTTGTGAAAATTCTATGGAAGGATGACGTGTCATCCAATTCAAAGATTCGCCTTCTAGAATCCCTTTCTCGGCTCAGCTCGCTATAAGATTTAATTGATGACATGTCATACAGCTGTAATTTAAAAGTTTTTTTTTTCTTACATCACTAGTATAACAAAATAATTAGTTTGTCGATATACAACATTGTTTATATGCATTTGAAAACTAATTACTAATTTAAAGGATGCAGTTTTTGAATAGTCAACTCAAACCATTAATTTAAAACTCTGTCAGTAGTGTTTATATGGTGGTACTTTAGATATTTAATAATGATGTCATCTCCACTAATTTATACTAATAGTGTTACTTGCTTGCAAAGAATATATTCGATTCTAAAAAAAGAAAAAGTGCTTCTAGAAGGAATCGTGGCCACCAGAACAACGGCTGAGAATTGTGAGAGAGCAGAAAACAATGATAAAAATCGGACAGAGAAAAGTAAACTCGTCGACTAATAAATATCAACGCCATTCTAGAAGCATTTTCTTGTCTTTATCTGCTGAATCATTTATTACGTATTTAATAAATGTGTAGAAAAAGAGACCAATTAAAAAAATGTCTGTGGAGGACGTGGCGGGTAGGCCACGGTGATGGATAGGACTTCTAGAAGACAACGAACCCTACAAGTCTACTAATCGATTTTGTGCGTGACACACTCCATTTTGTTTTGTTTTAAAGGTGGATTAGTCCAACGTTTTGTTATCATCAGTATCATTCACAAATTTTGATAGGATTAGACCCCCAAATACATAATGTTTAAAAGAAACAATATCAACGCAAAAATCGAATAAATTTGACGGTAAAAACAATAACTTTACTCAAAGAAATAAGTACTTACCAAAATAGAAGTATAGTTTTGTACTTTTATTGTTGCATAGAATAAATTTTGACGGTAACTAAAAACAATATAACTTAAAAGAAAGAAAGTACTTATGGCTTGTGAATTGTGGCGAATAATATTTTTTGGTAATTAATTGGAGGAATGAAAATTAACTTTGTTTAGTTATATTTTCATGAATGCTCGCGTTAAGCTTCTACAATTGTCGTCTGATAGTAACTAATATAGGTAAAGCTTGGATTAAATATTTTTATTAGTAATGGATGAATGAAATTTAACTTTGTTAGGTACTTTAAAATGAGTGTCTTGCAAATTTAACTTCTAGACTGTGTGGTTTGATAGTAGTAATTATTAGAATATGAGCTTCCAACTCAAAACCAATTGACAATGAGTGGAGAGGCCCATATATCTTATATTCTAATCAAGATTCCTTGTCTTTTCCAATGTGGGATAATATTATCTTTAATACGCCTCTTCGAGATGATGGCTCTAGTCATTGATCTCGGTATGCTCGGGCATGGATCGGCGGGTCAACTATTGGGCCGGGCCGATGGTGGATTGGATTTGGACATGTACGGATCAGGCTCTGATACCATATTAGAATATGGGCTTCCAACTCAAAACCAATTGACAATGAGTGGAGAGGCCCATATATCTTATATACTAGTCAAGATCCCTTGTCTTTTCCAATGTGGGATAATATTATCCCTAATAGTAATAACTGATAACTATATAGGAGAATTATATAAGCATGTAATCAATATTTTATTAGTAGTATTAGGATGAATGAAATTTACCTTTGTTAGTTAGTATTTTATAATGAGTGTGTCTAGCAATAATTAACGTTTATTATATTGTGATTTAATTAATTGTGTTGTTAAGGTGGGGACTACTACTTTGGTTGGGGGAACTTTGTGGGGGATTCATGTTTTGTGTGTACTCCAAGTTCCACAAATACTAACTCTTCATTGCTTCCTTTTTTTTTAATATGCAAATCAACCAATTATAGGTCGTTCACAAACCATCTACTAATATTTAAGTTTTCTTGCAATCTAATTTCAAAAGCATCCACTCAGTAATTTAAAAGGAGACAATTGTAAATTTCATTATCATCATAAAAAGCTCCACCAAAAAAAAAAAATAACCATAGGTCCACAAGCAACCAGCGTCAAACAAAAATCTTTGTTGTTTTTTTTTTTTTAATGTTTTGTCTAATAAAATAGTTTATTATATTGTATTTTTTGGTCATATATGTGGATATTTAATTTGTTTGGCTTTATAGCAACTCTCATTATTTCGCAAGCTAATCACTATATTCTCGCGAAGTCATTGATTTGAGCCAATTCATGGTTTGCTTATTAACAACTAAAATGATTATTTTCGATAAAGAATCAAACAACAACGAAGATAAACAAACTAATGACAATGCGTATGATAGAACGACAAGTCGGTATGAAGCTAACCTGGCCATGTTCTTAAGTTGAAAAGTATTTATCAACTTCTTTCTTCTTATCAAGTGATTTTTTATCATCGAATTATTTAAATTATACGAATCTGTATAAATCTATAATTAGAGGGGAATTGGGCTAATTGCTAGTGTGCCTAGATATATTGGGTCCATACCATGAGCACAGTCACCTTACGGCCCACTAAACTACCCATAGGCCCATAGCGCTTTCCACTCTTATATAAATTTTTAAGCGAATAGTTATATCTTTTGTGATAATTGCAATAATAAACTCAATCTACAGAAAATTTCGTGTAAAGTCACTAAATCAAGTTATTAAGTATTAACACCATTATTTGGTTCGATCCATAAATTTCAAACCAAAACTCAGAATAATCCTAATATTGTAAATTTTTTTTTTTTGACGGCAGTAAACCTAATAATTTTTAAAAAAATACTTAAGGTATATAGCAAAAAAAGCTAGTGGTTGAAACTCGATCACCAGTCTCGATTAAGAGGAAGAATTATCATCAACTCATGGAGCATCACAAATTGGTCGTAATATAGATAGTGGATACAAGCAATTATTTGTCTTTTTTATATATTTTATACGATAAAAAACATCAAACTATTGAATTGTTGTTGCTTGTTGGGGATTTATTCAAATTATTTGAAACCTAAAGTACCAAATTAAATGATAAAAGTGGGTTAATAATTTACCGAAATTTACTGATATTAGGACAAAGAGGCTAGATTTCTTGAGGGCAATGGGAACTGTCGTAAATGGGTATGAAACGGCGCCGTTATTTGGGTTTCTCCATGTCTTCTTCCACATTCTAAGAAAGAAAAAAAAAGAAAAAAAAAATTTAATAATTTCTTCTTCTTCTTCAACTGATGAAACAACAATTCAACCAAGAACGAAACTTCCTCTCCCTCTCGCGCCCTACTGACATCTGAGATCTAGCGATTCTATTCCAGATCACTCACAAATCTCCTCCATAAACTATCAAGCCAACGGATTCATCATCATTCTCTGCGTTGTCTCCAGCAGATCACAAGAAGAACAAGTAGAGAAACCTCAAACAAAGTCGTTGTTGTTTCTTATTCGAGTTATGCTTGATTTGGTTTCTGCTACTTGTTCTATTCTTCTTCTCTGACCCTTCGTTGACGGCACGCAAGGTAAAGTTGCCGTCTTTCTTTTGCCCTTTCTTCTTTAACCTCAAAGTCTCGATTTTGTTTTGATATCGTTCCATCTCTTTCCGATTCATAGCTCTTCTGCGTTAAGTTCTCTAGATTGGCTTTAGCCGTTTCCTTTGTGCTGCTCTGTGGAAGCGATTTAATTTAGGCGTTATTCAGATGCTTTTTATTTGGATTCGCGACTCTTTGTACCTGTTGCTCCTGTAATATGAAGTTGTTCAACTAATATGAAGTGTCTGTTTCCATTGTAATGCTAAGCTTTTTAGATTAGTTTTGTGGTGTAGAGACCATCCACAAGACTCCGCAAAGTGTTTTCATGCTGTGTGACTCTGGTTATAACTTAGATAGATCTCATACAAGAAGTTTTCCTGTATCCAGGTTGCAGAAGAAGCGGGCGCTGTAGTTTTATCCTTGGTCCATGTGTTGGTAGCACAAGGGTATGAGTTGTTGTAAAGTGCCAGTTCTTATTGAAGCACAAGTTGAAGTAAGTTGGTTCACGGTACACTCTTTGATTTCTGGATAGCCAGAGCTTTTTTTTACAGATCGTATCTCTTATCTGAGTTCATCGGTTTGTTGTGGGACTGTAACAGATGGTGTCGGCTAATGAACTTGAGAACAAAAGCCTATTTAGACAAGAAGAAGATGCCGCACAAACTAAAGAAGCTTCTTTAATGGAGCAAGGATCACTTTCTACAAGTTTTCCCCAACACACGCCTAAAGCACCAAAGAATAGCGTACTTAATAGCATAAAGATCGTGATTTTTTGTAATAAACTCAATCTACTATTACCTTTCGGTCCTCTAGCCATATTGGTCCACTACATGATAGATAGTAAGGTAAATTGTTACTAATTCTAGTAGTTTCATGTCATATATTAGAGTTGAATCTCAAGAAATGTTTTTTGCTGTGGTTCAGGGGTGGGTGTTTTTGCTGACCTTAGTAGGCATTACACCATTGGCTGAACGTCTAGGATATGCCACAGAGTAAGCCCCACTAGCACTTGTAACACAAACTTACCATATCTTTACTCTGTTTGGGAGACTTATGTGTAAGTATTTGCTTCTTTGAAACAGGCAACTGGCTTGTTACACGGGTCCAACTGGTATGACTTTGTTCTTCTGAAACAGGGCTATTCCTTTTCTTTTTTTCTTATGTAGTTTTGTGATAATTTTTGACGTGTTATACATATTTCA